GGAGAGTGGACAGAAGCTGAGGGGGACCTGGGTCTCTGCAGTGACGTTCTTTAGTCATTGTGGCTTTCCTCACGTGGCACTGACCCTGTGGATTCTCTCCTTGTTTGTTGTGTAATTCACTATGTCCACCCAGCTCACTGTCCATAGTCTGAACTGGCTTCTGGTTCCTAGAGGCTCTGTCCCTCCTGCCTCAGCCAGCCCTGCCCAGGCTGGCCTTTCAAAAAGACCTGGCAAGGGCTATGCCTGTTCTGTCCCCTTCTGCAGTTGTCCTTGCTGTCTGTCGGATTCCCCTTCCCTCACATCTGTAGCCAAGGCTGGACAGGGCTCTGAGCCTCCCTCACTTCTGCAAACCCCCATTCTCTGCAGCAATCCGTAGCACACCGAACCTGTGCAAACCGTGTGGCTGAGGTGGGGCTCTCTGTCTGCCATCTTCCTCCTTCCCACCCAACCCCCAGCTTCTGGTCCTTTCTCCTCCACCCCCTGACACTCGGGTCTCCTGACTCACAAGCCCATGCTTTCTGCCTATCCTTGGTTATTCACCACATTCATTTTCCCTGCCAGCTCTGCCCTGTGTGATTCTCACCAGCCTGAGACTTGCACCTTCCTCCAGCCTGCTTTAGGCAGGGAAAGTGAAGAAAGTCCCTGGACACCATCTCTCCCCCTTCACCCTGGGGCAGGCACACTGTTACAGCCTTCTCCCAACAGGTTTTGGACATGAGAATTCGTGGATTGGCCTGAATGACAGGACAGTAGAGAGGGACTTCCAGTGGACAGACAACACGGGACTGGTGAGTGGCAGGTCCTTGTTCTCAGACTGCTGAGCCCGTAACCCTGTCCAATGGCTTCAGTTTACCTTCCTATGAAGCAATCACTCACTCACTGGTGGGCATCATAAATCCTCAGAAGCTCTGGGGAGTGGCTTGGAAGAAGAGACCCACCCAGTGAGGGGCGGGGGATGTAGATCAGGGGTGGAGCCCCGATCTAGAATGCCCAGTGGGGGCGTGGGGGCGTGGCTTAGCCTGGGTTTCATCCAAACACTGTGGTTACTGTAGTATTTGCCGGACATCCTAGTACCTGGGGAGCCGGGGCAAAATGATCACCACAAGTCTGAGCTTTAGCCTGGGCTACAAAGTGAGCTGTGGACCAGTCATTGTTACATAGGGAGATCCTGTCTCGAAAGCATCAGTATGCTAAGCAACAGGTTAAAGTCAGCACAAGGTCAGACTCCATGAGAGGAAGCCTGCCCAGGAGCTGTGGTGTGGGGGTGGGGCCGGGCCGTGGGTGGGGTGGAGCTATGGGCGGGGATTGGGGAGTAGGCGGCATATGCTGGGTGCTGGGCACTGGGCAGGCAGAATGAGGAATTATTTTTTCCTGGATTGGTGTAGAATTTTGGTTTGTCGTGATGAAAATTTTCTAGAAATAGATACAGTGGTGATGGTTATACAACACTAAAAATGGGAGTGACGCCATGAACCATGGCTTTACAATTCCTTCCATGGGATCCGGTGAGACGGCGCAGCAGGTACACTTGCTGCTCAGCCTGACAACCTGAGCTTGATCCCTTGGAACTCACATGGTACAGGAAGAGAACAGACTTCCAAAGGCGTCTCTGACCTCCAAAGGTGTATGCATATGAGTGTCCCTCTTCTGAAATCCTTTCTGAGTCAGAGTCTCTCTGTGTAGCCCTGGCTGTCCTGGAACTCACTCCGTAGACCAGGCTGGCCTTAAACTTAGAGATCTGCCTGCTTTTGCCTCCCGAGTGATGGGATTTAAAGAATGCACCACCATGCATGGCTCAAATGAGTACATTTTTTTTGTAAAATATTATTTACTTATTTAATATATAGGAATGTTTTTGATAAATTGTCTGTTCACTGCGTATATGCAGTGCCTTCCAAGATCAGAAGAGGGCACTGGAGCCTCTAAAACAGAAGGCTGTGAGCCACCATGTGGTTGCTGAGACTTGAACTCAGGTCCTCTGAAAGAGCAGCCAGTGTTCAACTGCTAAGCCGTCTCTCCTGCTCAAATTTTAAAAATGTAATAATATGTTTAAATTTGTAAGATATCCATTCCCTCTTGCTGCCCGAGATCTGGCCCCGCCCACTCTGTCAAAAAGCATCCCCTCCGCCTGGCTCGGACTCCTTCCCTGCCCCCAAACCAGAGTTGTTCCCTGTGCTTGGAAATCCATTCTACACCTGGGCTCCCCTCTGCTTTCCTGCTTCCTGTCACCTCCTCAGGGAAGCCATCCTTTACTTCTAAGCTGGGGTCCACATTTCTTCAACTATTTCCCTAACGCTGATGATGTGCATGGGGACCTGGGAGGGGGTAGCAAAAGAAGGGGCCACTGATTCTCATCTTGGAGTGGTCTGCCCACAGGAATCACACAGGAAGTGCCAAGACCTGGGCTGACAGGCAGGCACCAGAGTGATTCCAACTGTCTCTCTCTCTCTCTCTCTCTCTCTCTCTCTCTCTCCCCCAAAGCAATATGAGAACTGGAGGGAGAAGCAGCCGGATAATTTCTTCGCAGGTGGGGAGGACTGTGTGGTGATGGTGGCACATGAGAGTGGCCGCTGGAATGATGTCCCCTGCAACTACAACCTCCCCTACGTCTGCAAGAAGGGTACAGGTACTGCACACTTCTTTCCCGTTGTCCTTCCAGACACTTGTAGTTATTTTCTTGTCACCTGACCATTTCCCAATTACTGCCTTGAGGTTATTGCTTTCTAAGAACTCTTTACATACGAAGGAAATAATTTGTATGCATTCTGTTTATTTTTCTTTTGTGCTTCAGTTTTTTTTTCTTGTGCCTTATGCCCTAGGGAGTGGGGTGTGTCCGGAAGATTCTATCCCCACCATAAGATGCTGCTGGTTTAGATGAAAGGCAGGAGATAACCACAGTCATTTGTAGTTCTGTGAGCTCAGAGCTGTGCAGAGGGAGGGACCTGATAACGTGGAGGATTCTCATCCAACAAGCTGTGTCACTGGTTTATCCTCACATTCACCGACTTCCTTAACCAGAAACTCCTCTGTCCCCAGTGCTGTGTGGTCCCCCTCCGGCAGTGGAGAATGCCTCTCTTGTCGGTGTGCGGAAGGTCAAGTACAATGTCCATGCCACTGTACGATACCAGTGTGATGAAGGATTCTCCCAGCACCACGTGGCTACTATCCGCTGCCGAAACAACGGGAAGTGGGACCGGCCTCAGATTGTGTGCACCAAACGTAAGTGCCATGCTCAATACCCTGTCACCAGCAGGATTCCAGTCGTTTATAGTTCTTGATTAGAATGTCTATTCCACAACGGTGCAGCATCTGTAACCCCGGCAACCTGGAGGCTGAGGCAGGAAGATTACAAGTTCGAGGTCAGCCTGGATGTAAGACCCACAGGAGAAAAAAAGCTAGGCTAAGAATGTGACTCAGGGGGTAGAGTGCTTGTGGCTTAGTAGGCAGAGTGCTTGTGGCTCAGTGGGTAAAGTGCTTGTGGCTAAGTGGGTAGAGTGCTTGTGGCTCAGTGGGTAGAGTGCTTGTGGCTCAGTGGGTAGAGTGCTTGTGGCTCAGTGGGTAGGGAGGGCCAGGGTGTCCATTTCCAGTACTGCATAAGCTAGGACTGGTGGCAACATCGGTGATTCTAGCACTCAGGAGGTGGAGGCAGGAGAATCAAGAATTCAAGGTCATCCTCTGCTACATAGTAAATGTGAGGCCCACCTGGACTACATGAGGTCCTGTTTCAAAAAAAAAGTCCTCCTGGTAGTAGAGTAGAGCCTTACAGATTAACGAAATACTATTACCAGCCAACTTAGGGCTTCTGTTTGTATGCTTAATTGTTTGTTTTAGAAACAGAATCTCATGTAATCCTGACTGGCCTCAACGTTGGAATGTCTAACTAAGTCTTGCTTACCAGACTCCCAGTGCTGGGGTAACATGTACACGCAAGTCCCCACACCCCACACGGGTACCTTGTTCTCAGCTGCTCCAAGGCTGGTGGCAAGGGGCTGCAGACCCCAGGCCAGCCTGGGCTACAAAGTAAGACACACACCTTAAACTAAGTCATGTTTTCAGCCCATGAAAAGTTGGGTTTTGTTTTGTTTCTTTGAGGTTATTGAAAAGGGTCTCACTGCAGCACCAGCTGGCCTTGTACTTCCTGCCTCTGCTTCCCAAGGCCACCGGACCTGGCTTGCCCAGTGTGTCTCTCTCTCTCTCTCTCTCTCTCTCTCTCTCTCTCTCTCTCTCTCT